CCCCAAAACCCCAAAACCCCGTTACGGTAATGAAGTGTATTTAAAGAATTAATTTAAATATATTTTTGTAAATTGTAGAAATAATTAAATATAGGAAATCTTTAGAAATGATAGATCCTAAATATAAATTCCTAATCGCAATATTCATTTTATTACCCTTAATTGGAATAACATAACAGAATTTATCCGATGATATCCACAGTAATTTAGCAGAAGAAACAAACTTTGGTATCTTGACTTCATTGGAGAATTACATTGAGACTCATAATTTAGTTTTAAATAATGGATAGTACAGTATTTAGTGTTTAACTTGCAAATTTTCATTATATTGGTCATGGCTAATAGCTAACAATCAACTTTCTAGATTTATACTAGTCAAAATAATCTCATACGTTTGTACCAAAGTTACACCATATGATTAATATACTTGCAATGGCTATGTTGGGTCATTTGCTGACGTGGGTATCGATTAATTATTCAAGGGTCCATTTAATGAGAAAGTTATTTGTGAGGATACATATAAAATGTGTCCAGATACAGTTGTTTCCAGAGTAAAAAGCATAGAATAGTTTCAAACCAGTGTTCTTTCTGACAAGCCTTCAAATATCGCAAATGACTAGTTTATCAACAACATCTACACCAGTATTGGCTCTTCGGCAAGAACTACTTTCAAGATGCTTCATCTAGCAGATTTACATCTAGATACAAAATATGTACTAGGAGCTTCAAATACTTGTAATCAAATTATTTGCTGTAGATCGAATCATGGATTTCCTTCTGATACTTCCAAGTAAGCAGGATAATACGGGGAGTTTAAGTGTGATTCCCCTCTGTCATTATTAGTAAGTATGGCTGACTACATCAACAATGTAATCTAACCTGATATGATAATTTGGACTGGTGATAGCATGCCGCATGCTGAAGCGTAAGGCATGAATTTTGAGGAAAAAAAGACAACTATAGATCAGATTAATGATTTGTTACTAACTAAATTCGCTAATATTCCACTATATCCTTCAGTGGGTAATCATGACTATGCTAGTACTAATTTTGAAGACTATACCAAGAAAGAGTAACTATATTAATACGTCTCCACTGATTGGAGTAACTGGCTTGATAATGATGCCATGCAGTTATTTTTAAGTAAAGGGTATTACAAGTAAAAACTAAAACTCAGAGATGGGACGACTTTTAACAATGTGTATATGATTGCTCTTAATACAGAGGTTTGCTATTTCTATAACTTCTATTTGTTTTCTCAGAGAAATGATCCAGCTGGAATGCTCAGTTGGCTTGAGACAACTTTGAAAAGCTTCGAGACTAATGGATAAGTTGCTATAATGTTTGGGCATATACCCCCTAGTGGGAAAGATTGTATGAATGGTTGGTCCTCAAGATTCAAGGCTATCACTGATAGATTCTAACATATTATAAGACTCACTGCTTATGGTCATAAACATAAAGAAATGGTAAATCTAGCAAGATCAGTAGCTGGTGATCTCCCAATAGGAGTTCATTTTTCAACAAGCTCTGTAACTCCTTATGGCGGGTCTATGCCATCATTTAGGTATTTTACTTATTAAAACTATCTATAGAGTTTTCGAAGTTGACAACTAGTATTTTGTACCTTTAAAGGCGACAACCCACTACATGGACATTAATGCAGCTAATCCAGTTTGGGCTGCTCGTCATGAGCTAACTAATCATTACTCTTTGTCCAATTTGAGTCCAGCTGCATTTTAAGATTTTGCAAATCGTGTAAAAACTGACTCAGTACTTGCTTCAAAGTATCTAACATCAAGAAGTGCGGGAGCATCGCCAGTAAGCTCGTGTGCTCAGGCTTGTAGAAATTAATGGTATTGCTACATACGGGAGTAAACCTACTACGACTACTTAGACTGCATGGGATAGGATAAGAGTGTTTTCTTTGAAGGACAATTTGATTGGTTGTTTGATCCCTGGTTTTAATTATGAATGCTAAACTTAGTTCATTTGATTATTCCCCAATTATTATGCTTTTGTTTGAATTTGAAACCTTGAAAACTCTTTAAATTGTAATGTTTAATCTATTGAATTTTATTTTCCCAGGTATTTAAAAATGATCCAAGCTATTAAGTAATTCTAAGTCTATTATTTAGATAATATATTCTAAAATCTTTATTTAGATTTATATTTTAAATCATCATCTTGGGGTTTTGGGGTTTTGGGG